CCCCAGAGGTACTTTGATTTCTTTACAAATTAAGGTTTCCAGAGTGGTTTTGCTTTCTGTTCATTTTGCAAATAGCCAGATAGCATTCAGCTCTGTCTGGAAGGGAGCTTTCTGCAGGTTTGAGTGAGAGCTTTTCACAGGGGGGAACAAGCTGTGAACCCATCTCCATGTGATGCCTCGGAGAGGTGTGGTGTCGCTCTCCATAGCCTGACCACCGCCCATTGATTGCTGAGGTGCTGGCTGAGATGGAGCAGCTCAGCTCAGCGCTGCCGTGCACCCCGCGGGGCGACTTTGCCGACAGCAGCAAGCCCCATCCCTCGGGTGGCTTTACCTGCCCTGGGGCATGTGGGCCCCGGCTGGGACGGGCTGTGCGGGGGCCCTGGCAGCACAGCGGGCAGCTGCCTGTGCCCGTCCCGGTGTGGGCTGCTCATACACAGAGCATCCACCTCTCAGCGATGTGGGGCGGAGGATGGGGGTGCCAGCGCCTCCTCCCCATCGTCTGCTCTGTAAGGCTTGATCCAGGCTAACGGGTAAAGCAGCCTGAGACGCTGCTGTCTCATTGCTAGCAACCGGTGGCCATACCAGCACGTGGGGTTGAGTATTTCCTGGTGGTGTGGAACAGTTGGAGGCAGTTGTGCTGTTGTCGTGCAGATGACGCGGGTGAAGGTGGCTGCCTGCAACCAGTACTCGACGTGCATGGAGTGCCTGGCTGCTGCTGACGCCTACTGTGGGTGGTGCACAATGGAGACCAGGTAGGACTGGTTGTGTCCCAGTGCGCTTTGGCATGTCCTTTGGCTCTCAGGCCCAGGCAAAAATTTCTGGTGCCTTTTGTATTTCCACAGTTATACTGCCATTAGTCTTTGTCCAGTCCTTATGAAATACATGCTTTTAAAAACAATTGCATCTGGTTTCAAATGGCTGGGATGCTCTTCAGAGCCAGAATTTAACTGTAGCTGGATTGTTACGCTGCAGTCAGCTGCCAGTGCAAAGAATATCTTGCAGGCATCTAACCAGGGGACTGAGAGAGCCAACACCCTATTAAAGACCATCTTCTACCCTTGCAATTATTATTTATGAGTAGGAGAAAATTGACACTCAAAAAGGGATTTACAAAATTAGACTCCGCATTTACAAATTGAAGTAGTTGGACAGAATGTCACCTTCTCTTTGGTTCTGGTTTCAGCCTGGCCTGCTCTCGCTTGTCCTGAATCCCGATGCTCCGTTGATGCTGGTGGGAGTACACACTCTTATCGTAGCAACCAGACACTTTAAATATAGCAGCAAAGCTTTCGGCTTAGCTGCATGGATGGAGGAGAAAGATTTAGCCACAGGATTTTCTCAACATCTTCCCTCACAAGGAAGTCAACATTTTTATCACCTGTTTTTAAAATAATCAACCTCAAATCGTTCTCCTGTTTGTTGCAGGTGTTCTCTGCAGCATGAGTGCACAAACTTCACAGGGGCCAACTTCTGGGCGAGTGCAAGTGAAGGAGTGCAGCAGTGCCCTTCTATGACCATCCTGGAGCCTGAGATTAATATCGACAAAGAGAACCCGGTGTGTTTGATGTGAATACTAAATTAATCATGTGCAGCATCCCACAGAGTCCTTACTTACTCTCAGGGCTGATAAATATCCGTACTCCTCTAGCACTGCAGCACGGCTCCACGCGGCTCGTGGGGATGCTGAGCTCTGTTATGTGCTACTGAGTCAGGCCAAGGTTCTCGGAAGCACCTGGAGGTGACGTCCTGTGCCTTGACACCCTGGACCCAGTGGGACCTCAACTGCTGAGCCCATGGGTGAACAGGACTTGTAAAGCTGCTGCGCTAAACAACGGGAGAGATTGGCAAAATTCCGAAATGTGGAAGATCAGCTGCAGGCAGCTAAATCAACTCATGTTCTGGTTTTGTGTTGTTGCTATTTTTAACAACATTTTAATGATATTTTAAATGTTTTCCTCAAAGTATTTTTTATTTAAGACAAACCCTCTCCCAGTGACTAAATTCTCTCTGTGCCAAAGTTCTTGCCCAGCACCAGCATGGGGAAATCGCTCGTAAACAGGCAATGGTTGGGGCAGAGCCCAGACCAGAGCTGGAGAGAGGATCCTGTGGGACCCCAGCACTGCTCCAGCTCCACTTGCACTGTGCAGGAATGGTGGGCTGGGGGTCCCAGGGAGTCACCCTGCTGATGGCAGGGGGAAGCCAGCCGCCCACGTGGGCTGCACGTTTTCCTGAGCTGCCCTCCTCAAAAGCATTCTCTTTCTGCAAACTTTCCCATCCCTTCTTCCCCGTGGAGGCTGATGGCCAACTGGACCCCCTGCAGCCAACCCACTCAGCCCCTGCGTGCCAGGCAGGATGCTGATGTGCAACCGGACCCCCGCAGCCCTCCCAGCTTGATGCCTCTCGTTACCCATCCCTGGCACGAGCTGGTACCAGCTGAGATGCTCCCACACTCGGGAGCTGGGGTGAATATTTTCTGCCCATGCAGAGGGGTGAGGGCAGCCTGGGCAGCAGGGGTGGGCTTCGCCTTCATGTCCCTTCTCTGGGTGGCCTCCAGGGAAGCCTGGGCTGGGCTTTGGTGGCAGCTGGTGACACACCAGCCATGGGTGTCAGTTTGTGGTGACAGAGCTTTTATAGTGAAGCAAAGGTTTGGATGCAGATGGCTTTTAGAATTCAAAGTGCATAAAATGAAAGAAAATTGCTGTCTATGGACTTGTTTTGGAGTCACTATGAAAAGCTTGTAAAACATGGAAAAATTCTAAGTATAATTTTCTGTCGTAACAACTGATTTATTTTTTTTGTCCAAATATAGGCCCTGATAATACAGATAAATGGGACTATCCCGAACCTGAATGGAACAAATATTTCATGTGACTATGGAAATAATATCCACACAGTAGCCAGAGTTGCTGGAGATTATGTAAACCAATTTATATATTGCAGTTTACTTCCACGTGAGAAATATCCAACGTTTCCAGACGACCAAGGTATGTCGAAGAAAACAACCTCAGTTCATTCTAACCACTTTGTGGACATAATTTTTTCTTAGGCTTTTTTTCTTTTTCCAATTGTATGTGCAGATAATGCATAAAGGGAAAAAAGACCAAAGCTGCTTCTGTTTTATAGGGCATGTGACTTTAAAGCATACGAGTTCCATCATGTTGACATGAATTGACAGTATTTCAAATCTATCAATTTTTGTTTTAAACATCAGATTTTAAAAGCCTGTTCATGTACTTATTTTATTAAGATTTATCTTGTTCTAACCAGATAAATCTGGTTTAGATTTAATAAGTACTAAAACAAAAATGTTTTAGCCCTGGGGAAATAATGTTGCTACTTATATTGATATTTTCACTTGCTTTTGTTTAATTTCCCTCCTGAACATGCGCTACCTTTCAGGAGAAATTCTGAAAGAAGAGCAAGTGTGTACCTAAAGGCAGCTCAGAAACTCTTAATCCCGCTTATACAATTAAAAGCTGGACTGAGGCGTTGTAGCATCCCCCAGTTTTTAGATGGTACCAAGCAGGATGCCTACGTGGAGGCTCCGTGGAGCTGCGCTCAGGAGGTGACAAGCACCTGCAGATTTGGGTGAAGGCAGCTGAGCCTTGGCTGCGCTGACCAGATCTGGTACTGGCCACTTAGCGATGGAGACAGCTGCCTTTTCAAGCTCCTTCTGAGAGGTTTGATGCTTCATTCCAGACTTGAGTGCTTGTTCAGTCTTCATCTTTCAAGCCTGGAGTGAATGCTCTATTGAAGATGGCTGACTTCAGTAGGGGAAGAATTAGCCAGTCCTTTTGAAAATCCCACTTTTCATAGGCAACTTTGTAAAGCTGCATTGTTTTTCTCCCTAGCTGCCCAAAGAATGGGAGATCATGAACTGTTCTGTATTGTTGGTTACGGCAATGTCCAAATGAATTTCTGGAATCCAATGCACTGATTTATTGTACATATTCTGAAAGAGGCATTGTCTCTTGTCCCTGGTGCTTATATGGCAAAATTGCAAAGAAAAAAATAATAAATTAAGCAATTTTGGGGGGAGGGGGAGTTAGTATAGCATGTTAAGCAGCCAAAAAAGGGATTTCCACTCTTCTCTGCGGGTTTGTTGTCATGGGAAAAGTGAGCAGGGTTTTAAAACACGATAACTAACATGTTTTAATTACCACTTTTTAAAAAATATCATTTAGCAACAACTGTAAGCGAAGATGGTAATTAACTCTACTAATTAACACTTGCACAACATGCTGGAATTTTCTGCTGAAAGTCGCAATGTTCTTTTCTGGTGAGGGTAAAGCGTTGATTTAAGAGGGAAGAGCTGAAAGTCAGAGGGCAAAAGATGAATGGTCCAAGCTCTGAAATGCAGCTCAGAGGAAGCCCTAGAGAAAACAAATCAGATTTAGCCCTTGTTTTCCCAAGAGTCTGTCTTGTCTTCTAAGCGTGAGTGTGAGCAAGAGGCTCTTGCAACCCAATATTCTTTGGCTTGATTCTCTCAGACCACGTGGTCGTCGAAACTGCTCTCCGAGTCAACGGCAAAAACATTATCCGGGCCAATTTCACCATCTACGATTGCAAAAGAACTGGAAACATTTACCCGAAGAGAGCGTAAGTGACCCCGACGTGCCGGCAGCCGGGCCCGCGGGTGGCACCAGGGCAGCGGGGGCAGCAGCAGCGGTGTGAGCTGGGGAGCGCGGGGCCCTGGGCAGGATTTGGCAGTGGCGCAGCGGCTGCCACCAGGGATTTAGAAAGGAGGGTCCTCGCAGCATCTCGAGCCATCTGGACATGTTGGGCTTTTATAAAATGTGAATAATATTTTTATATGAAGCTTGTTCTATTAACCCTTTGGCAGCAAAGCTGGCCTCCTTCGCGATCCTAGGGGCCTGTGGGGCAGGGAGGGAGGGATGTGTCCCCTCTGCTCTCTCCCCTCCCCACCCTGCATACCCCTTGTCAGCGCGGTGGGCTGGAGGGGAGGGTCTGGTGCCACCCACAGAGAGTCACCCACTTTTCAGGTTCAGAACAAGGGAGCCTGCCCGTGGGCATCCCCACATCCTGCTCAGTGGTGGTCCCATGCCCTGCACAAACCGTGGGGGAGAACCTTTGTTGGGCACGAGCGTGCCTGGCTTCCTGGGGGAGCAAGAGCAAGGGTGTTTTGGGGGAAAAGAGCAGTTTTCACTAAGCAAGGGAGGAGCTGGAGCTGTTGCCTTATGGTCTACCATGGCCTGGTGCCAGGCAGTGGCACCAAGAGTGACACCCTGGGGCTGTCCTCGGCACGGGCACTGGGGACAATGGGCTCTGCCCGTGTCCCCCATCAGCTCCCAGGGAGAGAAGGAGAGGAAAACCCAGCACCTGCCATAGATGGGATTTCTGGGTAGCATTGAAGACTGAGCTCAATGTGTGAAGATTGATTGCATGGCTGAGGTGTGGCTCCCCTGAGCAGCCCCAAATCTGCTTTTCTCACCCCACCGTTGCCGTTTCAGATGCACCAGCTGCCTCTCGACCAGGTGGAAGTGTCACTGGTGTCCCTCTGCCTACGCCTGTGTCTCCAACCACTCGCAGTGTGACGATGCCCTGCAGATGAAGGTAAGGCCCATCAAACTTCACTGCTTTGGGAAACCTTCCCACCTCGCTGTACTGTTCCTGTTGTTTCCTTCTCCTTGGGATGGAGGCAGGTGGCTGGGGTCTGGCAGTGCTCTTCCGGGGGGCAGGGGGCAGCTCTGAGGATGGCGCTGCTTGGCATCACTGACGTGCTGCCTGGCCTTGGGGAGCCTCTGCAGTCGGAAGTACCGTGGTACATGTCCCACTCCAAAGGCTTGGTACACATCTCCCTTCCAAAGGCTCGGTATGTGTCTCCCATCCGAAGGCTGGATGGATGGGGAGCTGGAGGGCCACTCTGGGTGCTGTTCTGCCTGCGTCATGTTCGCAGCACTCCTCAGCAGTGCTGGTGAGCCCGGGGCCGAGAGACCAGCCTTGGACCATCTTGCCTGGAGGTCCCCAGGGTGAGCTTTGCTTTATTTAGCAGCCCTGGGCAGTCTTTGGGCACCTGTGCTCAGCTTGACAAGCTCTGAGTCTCCGTGGTCAGTGGCCAGCACTTACTGGCCACAGTTTTTCCAGGGCTGAAGTTGGGGCTCCCTCCTCCACTGGTGTCCGGGAGAGGGACGCATATGGGACAGGTGAGCTGCAGCCGTGCTGTGCCGGACTGGGCCATGCCTGGAGGTGTGTGTGTGTGATGGGCTGGCAGCCTGGCTAGAGCATTTGGCTGTCCTGGTGCCCTCAGTGGGCACTGGGTTTCGGTAGTGCGATAAGCGCAGCAATACTTTACAATTCGCTTAGCTTTGACTAGGCTGGTGCAGGATGTTACTAATTTGCTGGAGCACCACTGGTGTTTCTCATCTAAAGGAGAAAATTGCCCCTTTCCAAATTACAGCTTTAATAACCCAGAGGCTCAGTGTGTTCCTGCTTCTGAAATTTAAATTGAAGTTAATTTAAATAAAATTGGCTTTTTAGCAATCAATCTGCCGTAGATCCAAGCCAAGCTTTTACGCTGTAAATTGAATATCCCTTTGGCATCGGTGCTCTGCTCTCATCTCAACTCTTCCAGTGTTTCCCTTTGCTCATCACTGATAGGAGTTTGGCCCCGTGTCAGACGTCCCACCCTTACCCCTGCCTAGGCTCAAGCCTGGAGCCGTCCCTGGCATCTGCTCCCCTCCATCCAAGAGGAGGTGGGTGGCTGCAAGTGCAGGGCATGGGGAAGGAGATGGGGCCACCATGTCGCAGCTCCACATGGTCCTGTTTAGTGTAAAACCCTGGGAAACATTACCTGTCCCTGCTGGGTGGCAGCAGGGTGATGGCTCCTGGCAGTGCTGGTGTTCCTCTGGTTTGTGGAGTGTGTCCGGGTGGGTTGTGCCTCCTGGGGAGTGTCTGGGCTGCTCACGCCGGGTGGTTTGAGGAAGCACCCTCCACTTGGTCAACTTCCCAGGTTTCAGATGTATCGGGCGCTTTCTCTTGCTGTCTGGATGGGAGCTGGGCACCTGAAACCCGTCACTGATGGCTGCTCCCAGTGTGGGACCCACACGCTGAGGCTGGG